TTTTTTTTGCATAAATGTTCAAGATCTATAATTGGTTACAAAGTAAATGTACCATACGCTAAAAGTGCAATATGCGCTATCATGCTAAAGTAAATAAACCGCATCTCTCTCTCCATGTAATATCAATTGAAAAAACAGAATATCTATTGTGTCAGAATATTTTTGCCAATACATTTTCCTTTGTATTTACTACAAATAATATGCAAATATACATAAACTTATGGTAACATAGCTAATGGTATTGGTCATCAATTCTAATGATCACCGGATTCTAAGTGTTTTGTATAAAACAAAAACCCGTGTATTTGTGTTGTCAGACATTAATGCCGATTGTATACACTAGCTATAACAAAATGAGTACAGTTACTGTACTACAGTAGCACCAATACAGAATAAACATGTTTATTTATTGCAAAAAGAAATACAACATTGTCATTATCATTGTTTATATCGGGCTGAAAACAAATGAGGGATCAGCGCCTGTACAGTATATTATAAACATAAATATCACCATCACTGTTTGCTATTATAAAGTATAGTTTTAAAGTACAATTTATATACATTTATACAAATACTATGAATGGGATAAATCTCCATGGTAAAAAAGTGTGTGCAATTCGTGCGGTTATTATATTTAAATCCCTTTCACATATCAGTTGGTATTTTGTGTTTATATTTTGCGACAACAAAGTCATTGACGTGTAGATAGAGATGCGGTTTATTTACTTTAGCATGATAGCGCATATTGCACTTTTAGCGTATGGTACATTTACTTTGTAACCAATTATAGATCTTGAACATTTATGCAAAAAAAAGTTTGCAACAATAAATCTACAATGTACCACGTTTTACTATCTAACTTATAATTAAGGGAATATTTAGGGCAGTTATTTTAATTATAGTAATTATAATTATTTTATTTTTGTATCATTTATAACAAGTTAGTTTATTAATAACAATATTGATTATTAGACTTGACAACAATTATACTACTATTGTTTTGCTAAAATACCTTATTGATTGTTAAATGTCTTATTGTAATAGGTGCATTTTATGTTAACAAATAAATTACATTATCAAATAGTCACCGATATAAAAACACTAACAAACTAGATAAAGCACTTTACTGCACATGTTACGCTATATTACGTACACATGTACGCTACAATAATTACCATCACACATAATTAAATGTGTATAAATAATGCATAAATGTATATATAATGGCATCGCACGTACCATGACAATTCTCCTACGGCGTGCATCATCATGCTGCTTTTTGCGCTCATCGTTGGCCTTCCCAGCGATACGACCCTGTTTTGCCACAACGAACCCAATCTTGATATATAGTGTACATGTGATGCTCAGCGGTATTCTGTTTGGGAAACAATGAACATGTTAAAACAAAAATTGTAATTACTTTTGCTACAATAATTACTTATTATAACGGCTGTAATATAATTTGCATTAATATCTACTGTGAATACTGTTTATTATAATGACTTTATTATTGGATATATATTTAAATTAATTCAATTGTCAATTACCATAATGCAATATAAATACCATTAAATAACTACTCAATTTATTGATGTGAGACCATTTATATAGTGACTTGTATGTTTTTAATAACAAGTAAAGTTTTGTTTTTAAAACATTGTGCCGTATTGTATTAAATTTTATTTATAATCAGTTCCTGAAAAATATATATTATTTCATATGAACCGTATATTACAATTCAATATAATAAATTGATGTATTTCTCTCTCTCTCTCTCTCAAATTAAATTTACTATAAATTGGTAAAAATTTAAAAAATAGTACTTTGCCAAAATTTGAGTGCTTTTAAAATATATTAATAATTGAATTAATTATGTATAGAAAGTAGAGAATTAATTATTTATATAATATCATCCAATGTTTGACATTAATTCAGAATGTGAATACATAGTGAGTTTACAGAACTTGTATTATAGTCAAATTTGAATATTTTAATGTTTTACAGTTTTTACTAGAATATTTATTCCTATATTTTTCAATGTACAGGAATGACACCTTTCTGTACTCTGCAAATATTCCCTAATTTTGGTATTTTACAGGTATTTTTAAACTTTTGGCAACCCTAGATATAAAGTTTATTTTAACATAACCTTACAAATAAATCATTTAATTTAATTCATATAATATTATATTAATATATTAAATCATATTACCTAATATTATATATTATGTAGATTGTAAGCTTAATTCAGTATGTATTGACTTTACGTAACATATAACTGCACACATTACAACATTTATTTAATTTTACATAGATTATATTTGCGAAAGCATTAACTATGCTTGTTTTTAATCTAGGCACAATATTATTCATGCGTTTATGTCAAAAACATAAATAATATATAAGCTTATGAAACAAAATTTATACACAATTTATGCAAAGCAGCAATTTTAAAGTCAAACGTGGTATATATATAATAAAAACTATGAAAAACACACAAAAAATTAAATAATATATAAGGCAAACAATATTTCGCACAACAGTGTGTTTTTATGCAATGATAGTTTGATATCTCATTAAATATTTACCACGATAAAAAATGTATTTTACTTTAAAATCCCATGTTAATCTCTAAAATTTTAATTAGATTATCTAATATGTTATTCAAGCAATATATTATCTAGATAATAATTAATACAACACAATAAGTTTCTACACAAAAAAGCAATCAATATTCAGACCAATGTCTTTATGATAATAGCAAAATAATTTGTGAGTTATAAATTTTTTGTTTGTTTTTAATCTAATACATTTATGAAACTTATTATTAATTAATTTATTCCGTTATCTATTCTCTACAGTAATTATCACTCACTTTGTTTCAAGAATATTCTGTACAATAGAAATGTTTACAAACTATGCAAATATTAATTCAAGAATATTCTATGTGTTTGTATTATTGAATGAGATAAGAAAATTTCAATCGCTATAATAAAGCACAATATTAACTCTCTCTCTCTCTCTCTCTTTATTATCTAATATCAAACAATAGTGCAGTTGTTGTTGGGTTTTCCACAGGAATTTTAATTATAATAATAATTTTCATGTTATTTCAATGTGAAAGCAATAGTTTTTGTATTAAAATTTTTATTTTTCAAAGCAAAATGTTTTTCCGTTTTCTATTCGCATATTAATTATGATATCATATTAAACTTTATTTGTCAAGGGTTGGAGTATTTACTATAATAAAGCATCTAGTCTTGACTGATTTGCATAAATGTACCCAACCATGCCTTATTATAATATGCAGAGATATTAATTCTATTGAATATAACTTAATTAATTAATTTATGTCATATTTATATAAGAAATTTTATATGTAAATTATTTTGAGTACTAACTACATAATGTTGGATATATAATTTACAATTTAGAATAATTAACAAATAACATGGTCATTTGCATAATTAATTATATATTCTTAAAAATTAAAATAAGCAAGTTTTAATATAAAATATAATGTAAAATTCATAATATAAAAACTTATTTATAACTATACGTACAACTAAACATTAACATTAAATAATATTACATACAAATAAATTAATGAACATCTACATAACTAATAAAATAAATTATTTATATACATGTACACTGTATTATCTTAAACTACTTTTTTAAAGATTGTTAAATTACAATAAAAATGTTTTATAAATTTGCATAACATCCTGATACACTTCCTTACTTTTTATTTCTTGTTACATTTTTACCAAATAAATATTACACCAGGATGTTATGCTTAATAAAATATAATTTATACATTATTATGTAACTCAAAACAAGTGCACTCAACTCAATGGATATAATAATAAATTAATATTATATTATATTATAATTTATAAACATGTTAATTATATAGAAGGTTAAAATTCACTTACAAATATTGCGTAAAAAAGCCCTCGATGGAAAGCCAGAATGGGAAATCAAAATTTAGTTTTGGATAAACAACCCTGCACCTATCATAGGTGACATTCTTATACACTGTGGGCACAATACGGTTAAACACGGAAAATGGCAGCGCCAGCACACCGGCCACCAGCCATACCACCACGATAATCACGGCCAATCGACCAGGTGAAAGTGACTTACTGGCCAGACTGGCTGTGCCCACAATTGTCCAGAATCGGTGTATGGCGATAACGCCCATGGTGAACGTGCTCACATAGACGCAACACACCTGGATGAATGGCACCAGAATACACAGTACGCGACCAAACGGGTAATTGAACGTGATAAATCGGGTCACGTTAAACGGTATATTGAGCGTGGTGGTTAGAAAATCAGCTAGGGCCAACGAGGCGATCAGCAGGTTGGTGGTGGTGCGCATTTTGCGTTTGCCCGAGATCACACGCAGCACCAGCAGGTTGCCGCAAAATGACACGCACACGATTATCGAGTAGAAAATTATCACGATCAAATTGCGAATAGTGTAATCGTCTTC